TWATCCTTAAACTTCACCTGTGCCTCCTTGACTTTTGGATGCTTGTGGAGAAACTGCTCTATCTCAGCAGGGTAAATGTTTTCTCCTCCACGGATGATCATGTCCTTTATACGTCCCTCAATGCGGCAGTATCCCAGACTGTTCAGACTCGCTGTGTCACTGTATCCATCAAAATTGCAAACACAGCATGTTTAGGAGTACTGACTCCTGCGGTTCTGACGCAAAACTTTACACTCTTTGCTGAAACAAAACATCTTACCCTGTTCTGTACCAGCGACTTTCAGAGATCACCTCTCTGGTTTTCTCAGGATCGTCCCAGTATCCGTGCATCACAGAGCTMCCTCTGATCATGAGCTCCCCTGAAGCCCCTAAAGGCACCATCTCCTCTGTAGCAGGGTCCACCACCTTGGCCTGATGTTAGGACAGACATCGGGTCACCTGACTGCAGTGATAAACTGTAGAAGTACAGATGGTGTGCGAAAGAAGACTCACCTCAGTGTGAGCCATGATACACCCAACTGTATTCAGCTTCAGCTCATCATTGTCCTGTGGGAATCCCAGAAATGTAATAGGGCCTGTCTCTGTGGCTCCATAACCCACCTTTTAGGAGACAATGTGCTCATTGTTCCATATCAATGAACTACGCTTTTAATGTTGGCTTAACATTTTGAGCCCATATTCGTTCACCATTATCTCTTTCATGTTCATTTCTGTTTGTAGTTTCCTCACAACCTCAGGAGGACATGGAGAACCTCCCATTAAACCTACAACAGAGCAACACTTTAAATCAAATGTAACAAAACATCACAATACTGTCTTCAGATCACTTACCAGCCTCAATGGATGACAAGTCATATTTGTGTAAATCGTGGCTCAGCAAGTCAGTGTACATGGTAGGAGTGCCATAAACAAAATTACACCTTGGTTGATAAAAGATGCAAACAGCATTTAATGAATGTTAGTTGTATGATAAAGCTGAATGCTATAATCATGATGAGATCAGTACCTTTCAGTTTGAATGGCTTCTAAATTGGCTTGGCTGTTGTAGCCTGAAGATGGAAAAATTAATGTGATCCCATGAGCTGCCATACACATTCCTGCAACCACAGAGCCATAGCTGTGGTGCAGAGGTACAGGAACACACAGTCGCACCTGAGGCTGGTTATGAATGATTCAAATTAGATTGTTCAAATACTAATATTAGTTTTCTTTTTGAAGATCTAAAAATCATTGTGAACCTACTCTCCATCCATACCCCATCCGCAGACCAACAAAGTAACCATTGTTCACAATGRTGTGGTGYGAAAGAGTGGTTCCCTTTGGTTTCCCAGTGGTTCCCTAAAACCAATCAAACAAGAATATGTCTYAAACTTTARGAATCAGTCATTCYTCAAGTATACTGTATACAGTATACACTGGTGCAACAGTGAAGTTACTGATGTGAACTGAATGTTGATGGGGTCATCGAAGGACAGCTTGTTCTGCAGCTCCATCAGCTGTTTGAAGTGTGGACCCTCCCCTGCTTGCATCACATCCTCCACATGAAGCATCCCTGGCTGCCTGCTGTCCGTCACAATTATCAGACGCAGATCTGGCACCCTGGCAGACCAAAAACAAATTGTCTCTGCTGGTTTCATTATCAATATTTTACACTTAATCCCCAAAATGAGCGACATTTGCTAAATCTGACATCTTTCAAACCTGGAGCTTTTAATCATGCCTGTCGGCATCGTGTCGATTCCTGGGCAGATCTCTCTCAGCATCTCACAAAAGTTTTGTGTTTTAAAACTGGTTGTACACAATACTGCTTTACATTGAACCTAAACACAACAGATCATCGTTACGTTTTATCAGTAGAAATATTGCATGCTTTTACATCCCTTTTAGATTCTGTTTGTTTACAAAGGTTTGCAGGGTAATGAGACCAGATACCTTCTGCAGAGTAAAGACCACTTCATCCACTTGATAAGCTGGGTTCAGTGACACCTGCAATAAAAAAATGTTTGAAATCTTACCAGTTTTAATGGAGGTTTTCCATGACACAAACAGCCCTGCATAATTTCTAACCAAACCAAGTACAAATGGATAAAGATTATCTGAAAAAAACCTTAATAGTCCAGCTTTCCCAGTCTGTTGAAGGTTCAGTTTCTGTCTGATTTACACTGTACATCTGAAGTCTTTGGCAAAACATGGCTGTTGGAGCCTACAATAGCTACACTATAGTCATTTTAGGTATATTTAGATTTCATGCACTGACCAGTATAATTCCAGCCTTGGCTGAAGCAAACTGAAAAAGGATCCATTCGTATGTGTTTGGCATCCAAACTCCGAGTCGATCGCCTCGCTTCAAGCCAAGAGCGAGCAGTCCTGCAGCTGCCCTGTCCACCTGTACAAATATTTTACAAACACTTCAAATACATAAACCATGTCCAAATCGATAAATGTTAGTTAAAGGATGAAAAAAAATCAAAAGCTGAGAGCGTTAAARCTGACACTCACATCCTGCTGAAACTCTGCAAAGCTTTTGCGAATGCCATCCTGCAGGAAGACCACAGCTTCACYGTCAGGYCAGCGTCGGACTGTGGCGTCCAGACTCTGTCCCACTGTCAGGGACAGCATAGAAACAGAGGAGGTGCCGTGGACATAGCTGGTTGTGATTGTGGGTTTGTGAGGGGGGCTGTCCACATGAAGAGACCTGGGATAGATAACAGTGCTCAGAGGTTGTACTCAACGTGTGACCTGTGATCAATTTATGTGGTTACAAAACTGTTTAAAATAATGTTTATTGACATTTTYAAGTTTATAACCAAACAAGACTGTATGGAAAATTGCATTTTTGGGTGTATTAAAATGTATGAAATAATTAAAAAGGAAAAACAAACTTYGTGGACAAGAAGAAAGAAAGCTTTATTTCATTAATTGAAGGTAATGCAAACTGTATGTTATAGTTTGATTGGTTTTTCAGAAAATTGGCTATAGTTCTTTGGAAAGACTAAATATATGAATAAAAATATGAAAAATAAAAAATCTAGAGACTTTAGACCTGACAACCAAATATAAAAAGACAACAGTTTTCTCATGATGTTTTGTTTTCAGAATATGTAAAGATAATCCAAATTTTCCCTAAATCTTAATATACATATCACATTTTAACAAATCTTTTGGCCATGTTGGGACAATAACAGCTCATAAAGTCATTTTCAGACTAAATTTAAGACAACTGTCTGTAAAAAAACATGGGGCTCACTTTTGTCACTTTATGAGAAAAAGCCAAATAACTTACCGACGTTGCTGCAGCAAAATTGTGAAGCGTTGTTTCCAGGTCTGGAAGGGTTTAATCCCACCCAAACATCTTAAAGTGTGAACAGTGGACCCGAGCAGCGAGGACACAAGCAGTGCAGACATTACTCCTGAGTTTCACTGTCAGTCTGAACCAGATCTGAGACACTACATATGTATACAGTCTTGTGTAATATTTAACTTTTAAACACATTCACAGATTGAACATTTAGAACAGTGGTATCTAATCCTAGTCCTACAGTAATCCAATATTCTACATGATACAAACCGTATGTATAAATATGTGTGCGTACGTGTGTGTGTGTACTTGTTTTTGTTACCTATTTAGGACCGTTTCTGGTTATACACACCTACCTTGTCAAGACCAGTAGTCCTAATGGGGACCAAAGGCCGGTCCTAACGTGGTGGAACTCCAGTTTTGTGTCGGGGGTTGAGTTTAGGACCAAGGTGTGGATTGAGTTTAGGTTAGTTTTAGGGTCAGGTTGGTACCTGTGAGGTTAGTTTTAGGGTCAGGTTGGTACCTGTGAGGTTAGTTTTAGGGTCAGGTTGGTACCTGTGAGGTTAGCCTTAGGGTTTGTGGTCAGGGTTAGGCTGTAG